CATAATGTACAAATACTTCAATCCCGCCTTCTTCCAGGATGTTTTTCTCTTATCTCAGTCTATCCCTGCAGAGGTCTCTATCCAGGATTCATTTTGCTTAACTTTTCAAGATTAGTCAAAATTTGCTAGGATACCTTTACTGCTAGTCTCTGGACAGTGTGGCACTTAACTGAATTTACTGCAAATGTTTGAAGTTCTCCATGTTTGAAAGTCCTAGTCATTGATCTCCTTTGAAAATCAATTTGACTGACAAGCAAGAGAAATTGGGGATTTCCAGAAAATGTTCCTTTCTATCTCTAGGATACACAAAAATGACTTTCCAAATCCTGGGACTTCAAGTTAAGGACTTTTGCCCGAAACGATACCATTTTCTAAGAGCCGTGGTGACGCAGTAGTTAGAATGGAGTACTGCAGGCCAACACATGGCTCACTTCAAGAGTTCGATTCTGAATGGCTCATTGTTGACTCAGCCTTCCGTGCTTCTGAGGTTGGTAAAATGAGGACCCAGATTGTTGGGGAAAATATGCTGACTCTGTAAATTGCTTAGAGAGGGCTGTAAAGTATAATGTAGTAGTATATGAATATTTCCATAATCAGCAGTTGCCATAATGACCTTGAAGAAGTCAAGCACAGAGGGCTGAATCCCTATCAGACTTCCTATACATGCTGTTTACATTCCAAACAAATAGGAGCTGCTCCCATCCTCATGCAAACAGAACCCCAAATCTGGATGAGAATTGGGAGCAGAGTTAAAGAATCATGATAACAATGGCATCTCTTGTACTTGTTGCATTTTAAAAAAGCTAATCAGACAGTTGGCAACTGCATGAACAGCATCATCTTAGGCAGGCAGCCAGGTTGAGGTGATAGGTGTGCTTGGAACATTTTAGACCAGATGATATGTTAGCTGCCCCAGTGAATAGAATAGAAAGAATAACAGAGTTGGAAGGGACCTTGGAGGTCTTCTAGTCCAACCCTCTGCTCAGGCAAGAAACCCTATACCACTTCAGACAAATGGTTTTCCAACATCTTCTTAAAAACTTCCAGTTTTAGAGCATTCACAACTTCTGGAGGCAAGTTGTTCCACTGCTTAATTGTTCTAACTGTCAGGAAATTTCTCCTTAGTTCGAGGTTGCTTCTCTCCTTGATTAGTTTCCACCTGTTGCTTCTTGTCCTACCCACAGTTGCATGATTGCAAAATGGGCATTGTATAACTTCATAAATAAATAAAATAGATGTTCTCATAATTTACTAGCAAGGGTGAGGACAAGATCACAGCCAACGATAAAATCTATCTTAATATACCTTTAACATCTGAGCTTCTGTGTTATTTCTGGCACCCAACGAGACCATTAGCGGTGCACAAGAGAAACTCAAAGGAGAAAAAAACATGTTTTTGCAAGAATCATTTGCACTAAGCTTCTTGAAGAGGTTGAGGGCAAAAATGGTGTTTGTCGCAGAAAGGCTGTCCATGTTTTCGAGCCTGGAGAACAAATATAGTATGATAAACCACAGATTAACGCCTAGATAATGAGATGACCAAAATATCCCACCCATGTTCTACTTGATTGTTCTACTTGAACAATTATTCTACTTGCTTTAAGGAATGTGATTTACAGAACCTAGTGGACAAAATATAAGGGAACTATGAACCCCACTTCCAGATTCATATATAATTCAAAAAATTCCCAAAAGAATTAATTTTAATATTAAAGTTAATATTAACTATTAAATATTAATTCCAAAAATAAGAACACCTGCTGATTGTGAAAAGGAGGACACTGCTGTACAGTCACGCTCATTTTCTATAGAGGCAGCTCTCATTTCCATGTGAGGAAGGAGGGGCAGGAGAAGCCAGGTGGATGCCAAATCTTATACTGAATAAGGATAACTACAGATTCCTAAAGACAAAAGTTGAAGGTATGCAGAGAAACACAACTTGCTTATTCCCACATGAAAGTGGGCTTTGTTTAGGCCCCCACTGCAAAAAACAGTAGATCCAGAACAAAAATGTGATCTGAATTGAGATGAAACTGCAATTAACTTAAATTTAATTAAAAACTATCAATGCTAATATTAAATAATTGATGAATAAGGACTAATGAATAATACCAAACATTATTTAAGAACCTTCCCCTTCTTTCACATAGACAAGCTTAATGTATGTATGTATGTATGTATGTATATTACATTAATGCACCAGTATAGCCTAAATCACCATAACATATTAGATTACATATATTAGGTGCTGTAAATGCTAATTTGAAAAGAAAATTAGAAGAGAAGAGAGAAGTAGGCATCTTTCTAGTCAGACGATGCAACTCCTACCTGTGAACTCAGGTGAATCCCTGTTTCATAGCAACTCTACTACAAATAGGCTGACTCAAGTATTCAGCACACAGGTATCCAGCAATCCTAAGCAATAGGCAGCAAACGTCTTCCCAGCTTGTATCAGTCAGAGTAGGAAAGTAGTAACTTTATTAAGTTTTTCATCCTGCAGGATTTTGGGGGACGCTCCCCCTATTCAATGCAACGATATAGCAGTCCTGTCAGGACACTGGGATGGAGAATCCCAACTAGGCAGCACGTTGTCACCTTATAGTTAGGTGTTTTCATGATGCCAAAGGCTCCAGTCAGCTCTATCACCAGAACATCTCAGTATTTACACAACAATGTCCCAACCAAGGGAGCCACCACAAAGTGTCAAGCAGCCCTAAAGTGGGGCTATGTCAATCTCACCTGTGGCACCTACAGGGATTAGAACAAGACAGAGAGAAACATACAATGGTTGTGTGCTGAATACTTGAGTCAGCCTATTTGTAGCAGAGTTGTTATGAAACAGGGATTCACCTGAGTTCACAGGTAGGAGTTGCATCGTCTGACTAGAAAGATGCCTACTTCTCTCTTCTCTTCTAATTTTCTTTTCGAATTAGCATTTACAGCACCTAATATATGTAATCTAATATGTTATGGTGATTTAGACTACACTGATGCATTAATGTAATATACATACATACATACATACATACATACATACATTAAGCTTGTCTATGTGAAAGAAGGGGAAGGTTCTTAAATAATGTTTGGTATTATTCATTAGTCCTTATTCATCAATTATTTAATATTAGCATTGATAGTTTTTAATTAAATTTAAGTTAATTGCAGTTTCATCTCAATTCAGATCACATTTTTGTTCTGGACCTACCGTTTTTTGCAGTGGGGGCCTAAACAAAGACCACTTTCATGGGGGAATAAGCAAGTTGTGTTTCTCTGCATACCTTCAACTTTTGTCTTTAGGAATCTGTAGTTATCCTTATTCAGTAGCTTTAGTTATTGTATAAGATTTGGCATCCACCTGGCTTCTCCTGCCCCTCCATGCTCATATGGAAATGAGAGCTGCCTCTATAGAAAATGAGGATGACTGTACAGCAGTGTCTTCATTTTCACAATCAGCAGGTGTTCTTATTTTTGGAATTAATATTTAATAGTTAATATTAACTTTGCCAAGGAAGCTAAATGGATCTTCCCTTCCAGAAATTAGACTCTACTAGGGCAGAGTGAAATGTAAAATTTGTTACTATAGGTTCTGTGGGTGTGGCTTGGTGGGGGCACAAGAGGTTGTAGAAAAAATGCTTTGAAAAGTTAAAAAAAAGGTTGGCCACCCCACCCAGTCACATTACACCCCCCCACCAAGCCATGCCCACAGAACCGGTAGTAACAAATTTTACATTTCACCCCTACCCTAGTAGAGTCTAACTTCTGGAAGGGAAGAACCATTTAGCTTCCTTGGCATAATATACAAATGCTTCAATCCCGCCTTCTTCCAGGATGTTTTTCTCTTATCTCAGTCTATCCCTGCAGTGGTCTCCATCCAGGATTCATTCTGCTTAAATTTTCAAGATTAGTCAAAATTTGCTAGGATACCTTTACTGTTAGTTTCTGGACAGTGTGCACCAGTCAGCTCTATGGATAAACAGCTCACATACAGGACTTATTGATGTTCAACTTAACCATATGATGAGGCTAATTACTGGGTGCATAAAACCTACACCTAGTTACTGGTTACCAGTTCTTAGTCACATACTCCCCCCACACTTACGACGACAAGAAGTTCTCATTCGGGAGTATAGTAAGATCCTATTAAATTCCTCTCTACCCATACATGGATACATTCCTGATCTCTTAAGATGCCGATTAAAGTCAAGAAATCCACCAATCTTGACAGCGCGTAAGTTGATGGCCGATCATCAGAACACCACACAAAAGTGGATGGAGGCGTGGAATAGCTGTTCCCCCAAGATGTCTCCGAGCATATCAGTCCTAGTAGTATACCTCCAGGATTTAGCCTACCCCAACACATATGGGTGACATATAATAGAATTAGAACAACTCATGGGGTGTGTGCTGACTCCCTGTATAAATGGGGAAAGACACCTTCAGCACAATGTGATTGCGGGGCCCCTCGACAGACTATCCAGCATATAGTGAGGGAATACCCTAACAGAAGGTATCCAGGAGATTCTAGGGACTTCCTCTGCATAACAACGGCAGCTACTGACTGGATCTCCAAAATCGACATTAAACTTTGAAATGTTATTTCTGTTTTCCTTTTAGGTTTTCTTACTGTTTTTTTTATTGTTTTAATTGTTTTTAACCTGTAAAAATGAAGTGTTTTAATACTCTGTGTGACCAACCATACGCTAAATAAATCTGGACAGTGTGGCACCAGTCAGCTCTATCACCAGAGTTAATAATTAACCAGATTAATAATTTAATTTGACATTTTTTTAAGTTTAACCACTTATATATAAAATTATGATTAGTAGCTGCTGGCCTTCCCACAAACTAAAGAGTAGGTTTATTAAGATAGCTAGAAATTATGTTGCAATGGTGTAGCCCCAAGTGAGATTGTGACTGTTCCAAAGGCCACTCCCAGAAAGTTTAAAGAGATAGTCATGAACATCCACCTCTCCAGATCCAGATTCCTCTCCTGCCCTTCTAGCCTCTTCCTTCTTCTCTAATCAGTGATTTCCATCGCTCATGGAGAGCCGTTGTGCCTGGAGCCTTTTGAGTCAAACCAGGGAGGACATTACCCCAAAAATGTTCATTTTACTTCTTCCAGGATTTATTGCAGCTTTGTCAGTTTTCCTCTCCAGCCAGATGGCTCCGGTAACTGCCCTACCAGTTCAGAACACTACCTCTTCAAGGTAAAACTATTGTATGTTTTTCTCTGTCTTGTTCTAATCCCTGTAGGTGCCACAGGTGAGATTGACATAGCCCCCTTGACACTTTGTGGTGGCTCCCTTGGTTGGGACGTTGTTGTGTAAATACTGAGATGTTCTGGTGATAGAGCTGACTGGAGCCTTTGGCATCATGAAAACACCTAACTATAAGGTGAGGATGTGCTGCCTAGTTGGGATTCTCCATCCCAGTGTCCTGACAGGACTGCTGTATCGTTGCATTGAATGGGGGAGCACCCCCTCCCAAAATCTAGCAGGATGAAAAATTTAAAAGTTACTACTTTTCTACTCTGACTGATACAAGCTGGCAGGATGTTTACTTCCTATTGCTTAGGATTGCTGTTCTTGTTCTTTTCTAATATGGAAGGTAGCTTCCAGTTTTTCCAAAGATTTCTTGACTACAGCATTCATCAATTATTTAATATTAGCATTGATAGCTTTTAATTAAATTTAAGTTAATTGCAGTTTCATCTCAATTCAGATCACATTTTTGTTCTGGACCTTCCGTTTTTTGCAGTGGGGGCCTAAACAAAGACCACTTTTATGAGGGAATAAGCAAATCATATTTCTCTGCATACCTTCAACTTTTGTCTTTGGGAATCTGTAGTTATCCTTATTCAGTAGCTTTAGTTACTGTATAAGATTTGGCGTCCATATGGCTTCTCCTGCCCCTCCTTCCTCACATGGAAATGAGAGCTGCCTCTATAGAAAATGAGCATGACTGTACAGCAGTGTCCTCCTTTTCACAATCAGCAGGTGTTCTTATTTTTGGAATTAATATTTAATATTTAATATTAACTTTAATATTAAAATTAAATATTTTTGGAATTTTTTGAATTATATATGAATCTGGAAGTGGGATTCATAGTTTCCTCTTATTTTGTCCACTAGGTTCTGTAAATCACATTCCTTAAAGCAAGTAGAATAATTGTTCAAGTAGAACAATCAAGTAGAAAATGGGTGGGATGTTTTGGTCATCTTATTATCTAGGTGTTAATCTGTGGTTTATCATACTATATTTGTTCTCCAGGCTCGAAAACATGGACAGCATTTCTGCGGCAAACACCATTTTTGCCCTCAACCTCTTCAAGAAGCTTAGTGCAAATGATTCTTCCCAAAACTTGTTTTTTTCTCCTTTGAGTTTGTCTTCTGCACTGCTAATGGTCTCGTTGGGTGCCAGAAATAACACAGAAGCTCAGATACTAAAGGTATATTAAGGTATATTAAGGTATATTAAGATACAATTTCAGAAGTTTTGAATGGTTTAAAACTGGAAGTTTTTAAGAAGATGTTGGAAAACCATTTATTTGAAGTGCTATAGGGTTTCTTGCCTGAGCAGGGGGTTGGACTAGAAGACCTCCAAGGTCCCTTCCAACTCTGTTATTCTTTCTATTCTATTCACTGGGGCAGCTAATATATCATCTGGTCTAAAAAGTTCCAAGCACACCTATCACCTCAACCTGGCTGCCCACCTAAGATGATGCTGTTTGTGCAGTTGCCAACTGTCTGATTAGCTTTTTTAAAATGCAACAAGTACAAGAGATGCCATTGTTATCATGATTCTTTAACTCTGCTCCCAATTTTCATCCAGATGTGGAATTCTGTTTGCATGAGGGTGGAAGCAGCTCCTATTTGCTTGGAATGTAAACAGCATGTACAGGAAGTCTGATAGGGATTCAGCCCTCTGTGCTTGACTTCTTCAAGGTCATTATGGCAACTGCTGATTATGGAAATATTCATATACTACATTGTGCTTTACAGCCCTCTCTAAGCAATTTGCAGAGTCAGCATATTTCCCCCAACAATCTGGGTCCTCATTTTACCAATCTCAGAAGGACGGAAGGCTGAGTCAACATTGAGCCATTCAGAATCGAACTCCTGAAGTGAGCCATGCATTGGCCTGCAGTACTCCATTCTAACTACTACGCCACCACGGCTCGTAGAAAATGGTATTATTTCGGGCAAAAGTCCTTAACTTGAAGTCCCAGGATTTGAAAAATCATTTTTGTGGATCCTAGAGATACCTTTCACCACAATTAACCCAAAATCAGCTTGAAGTCAGCTCTTCAAGGCCCATTTGAAGGATGGCATGGTCAGGGGAACTTGAATCTCTGAGGCAAAATGGTTTCAGAGAGCAAATATTGTGACAGAGAAGGCAAAACATGTTTTAAAGATGGCTCCTATAGCAAATACAAGAACGTTCCTTCTGCTTCTTAAAAAAATATTTTACACATGGAGGGGTTGCTCTTTGTGATTTAGAAATCTATTTTTCCAGGAAAGGAACATTTCTGAAAATCCCCAATTTCTCTTGCTTGTCAGTCAAATTGATTTTCAAAGGAGATCAATGACTAGGACTTTCAAACATGGAGAAGTCCAAACATGTACTACCCAAATATTAACTAGGCCCAACACTGTTTGGCTTTCATTAGCCATTAACTTTAAAAGCTATACATCTGTAGGTAATCCTTAAAAAAAATTACCTCCAAAATATGTAGAGGTCATTTGAAATGTGTATGTTTTCCAAGGTCTGCTATTGTGGTATTACATTTTGAATAGATGTTAAACTTAATTTGACTAACCAAACATCATCTTATAGGTGCTCTCTGTACCCAACGATGGAGAGGTTCACCAAAGATTTGAGAAACTTATTGCTGATATCAACAAACCAGGTGCCAATTATAGCCTCAGTCTAGTCAACCAGCTCTTTGGAGAAACATCATATGATTTTCTTGCAGTAAGTTACATACATGTTGGAGAACTGGCTGGAAACAACCATAAATGCTCTGTTTGTTCTAATGTTTGCCTATCTCATTGCAATTGCAGTTTGGCTCTGATAAAGTACCAAATATTCCTGTAGCTTTACTTGGCCCATTGAGTTATGTAGAAGGGAAATTTAAAAGTCTAGCTGCTTTTACTCTGAATGTTACCAGAACATCCAGTGGGATGTTTCTAAATATAGAACATTGAAATAAAAGTCATAAATAGAACCATGTAACCCATAATTGCCAGATATATTTTTGAATAAACTATGTTATCTTAGGATAATTCCATATAGTTCCTAATATCTGATATACTTTTTCTAGGCTTTATTAATTATCCAATGGCATTGGCTGGCTTTAGGTAGTATTCAGTATAATAAATAATGTTTCCAGATTGTTTTTATTACTGCTTCTGTTGGTGAGATGTCATTGTTTCTTAAGTCATATATAGAATCCATTCGGAGATTCTACCATGCAGGTCTGGAGAAACTTAACTTCACACAAGCTTCAGAAGATTCAAGAAGACATATAAATGCCTGGGTAGAAGAAAAAACATCAGGTAAGAATGATAATAAGAGTTAATTAGTAGCTGCATTAAGTAAGACATGCAATATTGTGTGTGCCTGTGAGAGAGACAGACAAGGCAGGCAAACCCACCATAGTTAACCATTACTTGCTACATAAAAGCTCATCAAACCTGAGATGAAATTCTAGCCATGAATAGATTATTGGTTTTATTGATGGACACATCTGAGCATATTTCCATTATTTAACTTGCCTGTTATTTAACTTGTATGTGTGTAATAACCTTACTAAATAATGATATAAGATGGGCAACTATATACTTTAAATGTTAAGGGGGAGGATGGGTGGATGGAGGTTGGACTGGCCCTGAGGAAGCAAAAGCTACATTCCATCCTCAGTCAGAGGAGTTCTCTGGGTGACTGCCTTGAATTCCTGAAGAGAGAAATCTAATAATTAAATTAAAATGAATAGAGAGAGAGAGAGACAGAGAAAGAGACAGAGACAGAGGGACAGAAGATGGGTGAGTAATGTTAAGAAATAATAATAGGAATAGGAATAATAATAATAATAATAATAATAATAATAATAATAATAATAATAATAATAGGATGAAACAATAGGAAGTAAATAAAATGACCAAATATAATATGATGGAAACAAAGAACAGACATAGGTCAACAAAGATCAATATTAGATAGATAAAAGGGAATGACCAAATAAGGAAGAGTCAAAATACAAAGAGAAATGTATATTATAGTTGCGACAAACTGGACTTGTATTGAAATGGATGTTTATATGTTTTTATGTTTTGTATGTTTCATTGTTCTGTTAGTTTATACTTATAAATAAAAATTGGAGAGAAAAAAAGAATTAATAAATCTTATCTCTCAATTAAAGCAGTTTTTAAAAAACTTTCAAAGGAAAAATTCAGGATCTGCTTGTCCCTGGAATAATTGATTCGCTTACAAGACTGGTTTTGGTGAATGCGATCTATTTCAAGGGAAACTGGGCAAATAAGTTCAACAAAAATTACACAGAGGAAAAGCCCTTCTGGGTTAACAAGGTATTCATTTACTGTATTAACAGAGTAAAAGAGACATTCTGAATATTTTTAATTGTGTTATTTTGTATATATCTGAAGCAAGCATGGAATTAATTTGAAACATTCCTGTAGCAAAGAAATTACTTACTCCTTCCATTTTATTGATCTTCGTGGAAATGGATGAATCATGAAAGTCAGTCATCTTAAATCCTTCAGGCTTTGTGTGTCAGACTTTTCTGCCATTGAAACTTTGCGCAGGGATTTTTAGTGCACCACCATTCCCACTAATTCTATGTAATTAACCGCAATAACTACAGAGTGTTTAGTGAATATATTTGTTAGTATATGGATCTGCTATGTATTATCACCTGGTTATTCGGTGGAAGAGGAACAGGCACAATTTGTTTTTATATTGCTCTCCACAAACAAGGCTGGTTTTAATATTATAAACATCTCGTTTGAGAAAACTGCTGATTAAAACCACTCTCCTGTGCTTCATTGCATTCTTTTCTTCACAGAATTGATAGTTCGTTTTCCTAAAGCTCATAATCTTTGTCTGTTTTTTAAATTTAATCCTTAATATTCTAAAAAAATTTAAATTCTGTGAAAAGTAAATGATCACTATGTATAAAGACTGGAAACTCTGGTGGATGGCTGAGACATGATAAATTGTCATATAAATCCTCAGTTTGTCTTAAGCAAAAGATGAAAGATTTAAGCAGAGGGAAAAAAAAACCCTAAGGATAAATCCATGATAGAATTATTTGCATTTCCTATTTATTTGAAAGATTTCTTCTAACATACATTTTCCCCACTTGTAGAATGAAAGGAAAATAGTGCAGATGATGTTCAGGAAAGGAGAATATAACATGGCTCACATATCGGCCGATCGGATTTCCATTCTTGAGCTTCCATATTATGATAATGACTTGAGCATGATCATTCTGCTCCCTGATGAGATTGAAGATAACTCTACTGGATTGGAAAAGGTGAGTTTTTCTTTCATGAAACAGAATTTAAGCCCTTGTCCATCTCTGGTACTAGCTGTACGCTGTCCTTTTTAATATTGAAGCTTGGCTTTCTGCAATTATAGTTAGTACTATTGGGTTGACTTGTATTTTCCCTTACTTTGAAAATATGCAAAAAAAAAAAAGGGGTCTAAAAAACACCAGTGAATGCACTTATATCTCAAAGTATTGGATAAACAGGGTGATTCCATCTGTAGCTGTTGTGTACAAGGCAATTGATAACGTTGTCAATAATATACAGTATTTCTTCTGACATTATTAAAATGCAAGGGATTCAGTTTTTCATTCTTCAGTTTATACTGTTTCATGTTAAAATAGCTATCAAGATTCATAGCTTGAAGGAAAGAACAAACAAGTTCATATAGCTGAGGTTTTTTTTTTTTTTTTTTTTGCATGGGTATGTGCCTTCAACTAAGGTTTTGCTTCTGGCAACTGTCTGGAGAAATTCAAGTAGTTTATTTGGCAACATTTTCAGAAGTTGTTTGCCCTTGCCTGCTTCCTAGGGCTAAGAGAGTGTGATTGGCATCAAATCACCAAATCTAGTAATTCATATCAAAGTGATGATTTATAATCCAGTGCTTTTAACAACGATACCAAACTAGGTCTCATTGTTTACTTTTCTTTTAGCATTCCTTTTAGCTTTAGGCATAATTGTAATTTTTTGGGTTTTCTGGAGTGGAAATTGGTATAAAATTTAATAGAAACATGAATAAATTATAAAAATATTTCTTATCAGCATGTGAATTTTCTCTGATGTAATATATATACAATTGTCTGGGCTGTTGGTTAAACAATTGAGTTAGAAATGGATGTACTTTGAATAGACAGTAAAGTTACACTTATATTACTACTTTTTCTCCTGGGTCCGAAGGTCTACACTATTTTTGTGACTTAATTATCTTTCCTAATGTTCTAGGAAATACAAGAATTTGCAACTGTTTATAAGATTTCAGGATTTTTCTGTCATTGTGAGGACCTACATCATACTTGTGTTACTATCAGAATAAATCATAGTGTTATATAACCAGAAATTTCTTTCTCCTTTAATGCTTTTCATCTTATTTTAGCTGGAGAGAGAAATTACATATGAGAAACTCATGGACTGGATCAATCCAGAGAGGATGGACCTAAGAGAAATTGAACTCTCTCTTCCCAAATTTAAATTGGAAGAAAAATATGACCTGAAGCCGGTTCTGAGAAGCATGGGAATGACGGATGCATTTGATGAGGACAAGGCAGACTTCTCTGGAATGTCAACTAACAATGATTTAGTCATATCTGAAGTTGTTCACAAATCATTCATAGAAGTCAACGAAGAAGGCACTGAGGCAGCTGCTGCCACTGCTGTAATAGGGGTATTTAAGAGTGCAAATGTTGCAGACAAATTCAAAGCTGACCATCCCTTCTACTTTTTGGTTATCAATCGAGCTGAAAAGAACATCCTGTTCTTTGGTAGGTATAGTTCTCCATAATGGATGCATCCATCATATGTTGGTACAATGGCTCTGACCCTTAATTCCTCATCAGATTTGCTTTAACCATGTGGTCACTACCACACTTAATGATCTTCTCTGTAATTGGGGTAGAGATAGTTCCTTCGTAATACTCTATAATACTGGATTTTAATTCTTTCTTTCCAGAATTATTTTTAATCAATTCAAGATAATAAGTTTTTAGTACAAGTGTTCTGATTGGTAGATAAATCCTGCAAAATTGCTTTGTTTATATAGGAATGTGGGCTGTGAGGGAATAGTTGCTAAGCATGAATCAAGGTATTACAACACAGATGTAATTATGTATTTGCCCAGTGTAAATTTCCATATGATGATACAAGTATAGTCAGCTCAGCTTCCATTGTGACATCATGTTTTTTCATTTGAATGACACCATGCCTAGCTGTACTTGCCTCTGCTTGGCTTATAATAGCAAGTGTACAACAGTGCTAGAATGAGCAACATATTTATTTTTGTGATCATCATTTAATCAAGAAATTTGATTCTATGTAACTCAAATATTTACAAATTATATTTACCTTATATAATTCTTATTTTGCTGCAGTCTTTCATGTAATCAAAATTGAAATAAAAGAGCATTTGATTATGTTGCTTTCAAATTTATTTAACAGTTGATATGGTGATAAGACTCTTTACATCACAGGTCCCCAACCCCTGGTCTGTGGCACTGTACCAGTCCATTGTCTGTTGGGAACTAGACCAAGCAAGCATCAGATGAGGATGCAAAGCTTCATTTGCATATGCACGAGATTAGATTGAGTGCACAAACCCTTCCACTCCCCCACTGCCATTGATCCATGTAGTCAAAAAGTGGGGACCACTGGTTTATATTATTCAGTTGCATATCACTGACATTCATAGTTATGCCCAAATTGTATTTCAGGTAGCCCTTGACTGTAATCAAGCTGAGAATTACAGTCTTTTTGCATTCATGAGTCACAATATCATTTGACCAGATTCAGTGATATGATAGTTATAATGATGGTAATTAAGTGAACATGCAGTAGTTAAGGAAATCCCCAATGGGCATTTTTTTCAGGAAACTTGAAGTGAAAGCTGGAAACTGGCAAAAAAATTGTGGTCATGGGACCACCGGGCACTTGCCATAAAGGTGAGTCAGTTGCCAAATGCCCAAAATACAATCACATAACCAGAAGATGTATGCCTGGGTAGCTTAACCACATCATAAGTAGCTCTGGGGAGGATTGTTGTAACAGGATTGAATGGATTTCCATTTGAGCCAAATGTCCATTAAATTAAATTCATTATTTTGATATTGAATATGGCAAGGTAAATAAAAAGGCTGCTGAGTGTTGCTCCCCTCTCTCTCCATCACAGCATGGCATATCCCACTGATCCATCTATCAAATCTTCTAAGTGCACAAACTTATAAAAAACCCTATTAGAAATCGTGAATGAATGAATTCTGTAATACAGCCAAAGGGAAACCAATAAGCACTATGCATCCAGTTAACAGAATAAAATGTAGTAGAAGAACCAGTAATGTAAAAGTAATGAGACATTGTACAGTATTAGCACTGTGAGAAATGGATTATCACTTTTGCTGGTTACATTTTCAATCAATTTATTACAGTCTTAGACCAGAGACCAGAAAAGGAAAGGCTAAAAGGAAAAAGACTAAGTGGTACAAAGGATTTGCCACATTTGTTATATAACATAACTATGGTGGGGTGACGTCATCACGAATGGGTGAAGAAATGGAGGCTCCGTCTCTGATACACAAATTTCCTCATTAATTGCTCTTTAAGGGCATTCCCGAACTTGGAGGGATTGGGAAACGAAAGAGGAATTCGCGAAGCCCCCTGGTGTTGCGCTGTCATCAGGGAGGTCAAGCGATCAACCTCTTAAATTGGTGAAGAAGTCGGCTTTTTCGGCGGACAGGTGTGATGGCGCCCGCCCGGATTGAAGCAAACAGTGGAAGCAAATTCGAGTGACGGTCAGATAGATCACCTACAATAGAGGCGGTAAACAGGAGACGCGCGATTGAATTAGAGGAAGACAAGTGAAGTTATAACAGCGGCGGTACAAGAGGAAAAGAAAAAAAGGGAAACAATTACAGAGCAGAAGAGAAAGAACCCATAGAATGACTAAGCAAATATAAGAGAAGGAGAAATAGCGCTCGAAGCGGTGTGAGTGCGGACTTTTACATGTGAGCAGAGAGAGCAGTTTGTGGACTCTGTGGATATAGACAAGCCGTTTGAATTTGGGAACTACAATTGACTCAAACCCCAAAAGATTGGAAAACTGAGCACAAAGGTTGAAATACTGGAAGTGGAGTGAAAGGACTAAGGACTAAGTAGTGAAGTTCGTGGACACAGAAGACCTGTCTGGATTTCGGACTTTGGATTTATAAATAAATTTGGACAATAAGAACTTTAAGTTTAAAAAGATTTGAAAACTGAATGTAGAGAGTCGATTATTGGGACAAGTAAAAAAGACTGAGATGGACACAGATCGCGTTTTTATGACTGTGAAAGATCTGAAGGAGAGAGGTAAAAGAAGAAGATAACAAAAGACCAAAGAAATAAAAATTAAGTTAAGAGGGAAGTGAATTATTAATGTTGAACTGCTTAAATAGCCAATTCGTCTAACATTTAAAAGAAATATATAAGTAATAATATTTTTATAGTTATAACTTGTATTGTGAAATTACGAAGGGTGGTTAAAAAAAGAGAGAGATAAGGAATTATTGTTAAAGTGAAAGATTGGAACTTTAATATAAAATAGCAAATGAGTTGACTGTATGTTTGAGATAGACTGATTGAAAAAGGGAGTAATTGAAAAGATTGCTAATTAGAAAATTAAGAAAACCAAGCTAAAAACCTTAACTGATGAAATAACTATAAGTAAATTGATTTATATTGTGAGTAAGAATTAATTCCTCAACTGGGATAATTGGCAATATAATATAATATAATATAATATATATAAGTTGTGTGGAGTATAAGCAATGTTTGGAGGGGAAAAGAAATACTAAGGAATAACCTAAAAATTGATGTTAAGGTTGGAAAGCTTTACATGAATATTGAAAATGTCTACAACATCCACCATAACAAAAACAGGGAAAAAACCTACAACCACTACGATAGTAATGACCTTCCTCCTCACAACAAAAAACAATAGATAGCATGACGGGGAAGGAAAAAGAAAAAGAAAAACTGGAAATGGCACCAAATGTAATACAAGACATGTTTCAAAAGATCCAAGAAACACTGCTCCAAACACAAGAAAAAATAGCTGAAAACCAGGAAGAAATGAGAACGTTCCATGCAGAGATTAGAAATGAAATAGGAGAAGTTAGGGAGGATATTAAGATCATGAAGGATAAAATTGGGGGTATTCAAAATTCCATAGCAGAAAACGAACAGAGAATTAGGAAAATGGAAACGAAAATAGATCATGTGGAATTAAAAGTAGAAGCAATGGAACAAAAAACTTTACAACTAAATAAAGAAATGTCAGACTCTTTGGCTATGCTCGAAATGGAAAAGGTCTCATACTTTCTGCAATTTCAAAACATACCAGAAGAAAAAAATGAGGATTTAGAAGGGAAGATGGTGGAAATTATTGCAGGAATGACACAAAAAGAGCCAAAAGAAATAAAAGGACAATTGGAAGAAATCTACCGTGTACAAACAAACTATATAAGAAGACACAGACTGGCGAGAGAAGTTCATGTCAAATTCTTAAAAAAATCTATTTGAAATGAAGTCTATAAGAAATCTAGAGAAGAAACAGTGACCTATAATGATAAAGAAATTATAATTCTAAAACAGATACCCTGAAGAGTAAGAAATCTACGACAACAATATCAGTTCTTAACACAATTATTGATCAAGTATAAGATAATGTACAGATGGCTGCCAATAGAGGGGATCTTAATTACATGGGAAGACAAAAAATATAAAATAGACACTCTAGAAAAGGCAAGAGAATTTCATAACACACACTTTAGACTAGAAGAAGAACAGGAAAGCAAGGAGGAAACAGATAGTAAAAGTCAAGAACCAATCAAGAAAAAGAAATAAGACAGAGGCAAGAAAAAGAGAGAGAAGAGAGAGAAGGTGCAAAAGCAAAGGCACGGATGGAAACAAGAAACACAAAAAGACAGATATGATAGGCAATGGATGAATCGATCAAACTCTTTTCAGTAAATATTAATGGCTTAAACGTCCCAAAGAAAAGGAATCAAATTTTCCCAAAATTACGAAAACTAGGAGCAGATGTGATATGTCTGCAAGAAGTACACATTCAAAAAGACTATCAGAAAATCCTAGAAAACCCCAGACTAGGAAAACTATACTCATCACTGGCCCAAAAAAAGAAAAAAGGAGTAGTGATTTACGTAAAAGAAAAAATACAATCTAAATTAGTTTATACCGATGAGCAAGGTAGAGTCGTGATGGTAGAATTAGAAATAGGAAAGAGGAAAATGTTAATTGTAGTGATTTATGCATCTAACAAAAAACTATAGGATTTTTTTAAAGATCTACACATAAAATTAGCAGAATTAGAATATTTATTTATTTATTTATTTGTTTGTTTGTTTGTTTGTTTCCATTTCTATACCGCCCTTCTCCAAATAGGACTCAGGGCGGTGAACAGCCAAAGTAAAAAACAGAGCATACAAAATTTAAAAACAGTATTAAAATAATTAAATATTTTGGCCGTAAATTAAAACAACCCAATTTAAAATCAATTTAAAATTTAACTCAAGCCAGCCCAGCTAGTTGAAATAAATAGGTTTTCAGGGCCCGACAAAAAATCCGGAGGTCTGTTATTGTACGTAACTCTGGGGGAAGGTTGTTCCAGAGGGTGGGCGCCGTCACAGAGAAGGCTCTCCCCCTGGGGGTCGCCAGCCGACATTGTCTGGTGGACGGCACCCTGAGGAGGCCCACTCTGTGCGAGCGTACTGGCCGGTGGGAGGCTATTGGTGGCAGAAGGCGGTCTCGTAAGTACCCTGGCCCTAAGCCATGGAGCGCTTTAAAGGTGGTCACCAACACCTTGAAGCGCATCCGGAAGACCACCGGGAGCCAGTGCAGCTCGCGCAGGAGAGGTGTCACATGGGAGCGCCTCGTCGCCCCCATAATCCCCCACACGGCCGGGTTCTGGACCAGCTGGAGCCTCCGGGTGCACCCCAGGGGAAGCCCCATGTAGAGAGCGTTGTAGTAGTCCAGGCGGGAAGTGACTAGTGCCTGAGTGACTGTGCGTAGAGAGTCCCGATCTAGAAAGGGGCGCAACTGGCGTATCAGGTGAACCTGATAAAAAGCCCCCCTGGCCACAGCCATCAAATGATCTTCTAAAGATAGCCGTGCATCCAGGAGGACGCCCAAGTTATGAGCCCTCTCCGTGGGGGCGAGTGATTCGCCCCCAATAGCCAGCGATGGCATCAGCTGGCTATATCGGGACTCTGGAAGCCACAGCCACTCTGTCTTGGAGGGTTTGAGTCGGAGCCTGTTTCTCCCCATCCAGGCCCGCACGGCCTCCAGGCACTGGGACATCACTTCAAGGGCATCATTGGGGTGGCCTGGGGTGGAGATGTACAGCTGGGTGTCATCAGCATAC